GAGCCCCCCCCCTGCCCTGCCATGGCCCCCGGCTGCTGCCGCCCGCCCGCCTCCCGTCCTTACCCCCCTCCAGGAGCCCGTCTTCAAGCTGGATCCCCAGCGTGCCGAGGACGGCAAGGGGAAGAGCCCATACGACCCCCGGCACGCAGCCGCCTCCGTCCTTGTGGGTAAGGGAGAGCCAAGCCCGGCACCCGGGGGCAGTGCGGCAGGGGGGTGCGGGGAGGTCCTCTGTAACGCTTCCCTCGGTGCCTTCCAGGCGAGGAGCTGTACTCCGGGGTGGCCACCGATCTGATGGGCCGTGACTTTACCATCTTCCGCAGCCTGGGCCGGCGTCCCTCCGTCCGCACCGAGCAGCACGACTCCCGCTGGCTCAATGGTCAGTGCCGGGGAGCAGGAGGGCAGCGGGGCGGCAGCGGGACCGCTGGCACCCCAGCGCAGCATCACTGCTGCCTGGAGGCATTGGGGCAATAAGTCCTCCAGGCTCAGCCACACCCCGTCCTCCGCTGCCTGCGGAGGGTGATTTGGGGGGTCCCTATGCCCCCTGCAGACCCCCAGTGCCCGGTGGGGTCCCACCCTCGCTCTGCCTCTGCCCTGCAGCTGGGCGGGGGGGGTCTGCACCCTCCTGGGACCCCAGTGGGTGCCCCAGGGTCCCTGGGGAGCAGAGCTAGCGAGGGCACTGGAGGCAGCACCTCTCTGTCCCCAGAGCCCAAATTTGTGGCCGTTTTCTGGGTGCCGGAGAGCGAGGACCCCGATGATGACAAGATCTACTTCTTCTTCCGTGAGACGGCGGTGGAGCGGCAGCAGGGGCTGGGCAAGACCAGCTTTGCCCGCATTGGCCAGATCTGCCGGGTGAGAGCATGGGTGGGTGGGTGGGCTGGGGGCCAGGGGTGCCCGTGGGTGCCACCTGCCACTGTTGATGTCGGTACCCTCCCTCTCCTGGCAGAATGATGTGGGCGGGCAGCGCAGCCTGGTGAACAAGTGGACGACCTTCCTGAAGGCTCGGCTCATTTGCGCCGTGCCAGGACCCGACGGGGCGGACACCCACTTCGATGAGCTCCGTGAGTGGGGGGGGTGGGGGTGGCCCCCCAGGGTGCCCATGGGTGGCCCTGGCACATTAGGGCGGCACTGACACCCTCCCGGCTTGCAGGGGACGTCTTCCTGCTGCAGACAAGGGACAAGCGCAACCCCCTGGTCTATGCCGTCTTCTCCACCTCCAGGTCGAGCTCCCTCCCCAGTGCCTACCCTGTGCCCCGACAGTGTCCCCCTTGCCCCTCACATCGCCTCCTCTCTCTCCCGCCAGCTCCGTTTTCCAGGGCTCGGCCGTCTGTGTCTACACCATGGCCGACATCCGCCGGGCTTTCCTGGGCCCCTTTGCGCACAAGGAGGGTCCCAACTACCAGTGGGTGTCGTACCAGGGGCGCGTGCCGTACCCCCGCCCGGGCATGGTACGTGGCACAGGGGCAATCCTGGCTGGTGCCACTGGTGGGATGCTGGTACCTGGGGTGGGGGCCATGGGGAGCGAGACCCCGCTCAGGCAGCGCTGCCTCCCCGCAGTGCCCCAGCAAAACCTTCGGCACCTTCGGGTCCACCAAGGACTTCCCAGATGAGGTGATCCAGTTTGCCCGGCACCACCCACTGATGTACAACCCAGTGCTGCCCCATGGCCAGCGCCCCCTCTTCCTCCAAGCCACCGTGCCCTACACCTTCACCCGCATCGCGGTGGACCGCGTCACTGCTGCTGATGGCCACTATGACGTCCTCTTCATCGGCACAGGCACGTGGTGACTCTGGGCCTGCGGCAGGGGGGGAGAGCTGGGGGCTACCGGGGCTGGGACCCCCGGCCTCACCCCTCCCTGCCCGCAGACATGGGCACAGTGCTGAAGGTGGTCTCGGTGCCCAAAGAGAGCTGGCACCGCATGGAGCCGCTGCTGCTGGAGGAGCTGCAGGTCTTCCAGGTGAGAAGGGGGGCTCTGCAGTCCCCTAGTCAGACCCCCCTCCCCGGCACCCCCTTGTGCTGCCTGTGCTCCAGGTCTTGCTGGGGCACGCCAGCTGCCGGGACATGGGAGCCGGCAGCCTGGATGCCTGGGTCCCCCCGCACACCCTAACTCCTGCTTGCATTCTGCCTGCAGGATGCCTCCCCCATCACCAGCCTGCAGCTCTCCTCCAAGCGGGTAAGGGGGGACCCCGGGTGGGTCCCCATGTCCCACCCTGGCTCTGCCTGGCCCTATGCTGCAGTGCCAGGGTGCTCAGCTCCACTCTGTTCCTGCCCCCCCCCCCTCCCCAGCAACAGCTCTACGCTGGCTCGGCCGTGGCGCTGGCCCAGCTGCCCCTGCACCGCTGTGGTGCCTATGGCAAAGCCTGTGCCGAGTGCTGCCTGGCCCGGGACCCCTACTGCGCCTGGGATGGCACCGCCTGCACCCGCTACGTGCCCAACACCAAAAGGTAGGTAACGTGCCAGGGTGCAGTGCTGGGGCAGCCAGCCTGCCCCGAGGCCACGGTGAGGGGTGCAGGTTGTGCTGCCACAGCCCCTGCTCCTCCGCCACCTTCCCGCAGGCGTTTCCGCCGGCAGGACGTCCGCAACGGTGACCCCAACGTGCTCTGCTCCGAAGGTGAGCCAGGACCCAACCGGGGGGGTCAGCCCTGCCGGGGTGGGGTGCTGACAGCTGGGCCATGTCCCTCCTAGACCCCCGGCGGGGCAGCGTGCCCCAGAAGCAGCTCTATGGGGTGGAGGGCAGCACTGCCTTCCTGGAGTGTGTCCCCAAATCCCTGCAAGCTCGTGTCCTGTGGACGTACCAGCGCACCCCGGATGACCCCCAGCGAGAGGTAGGCTTTCCCTGGCCAGGTGCCACCAGCGGTGGCCACCATGCAGTGCCACCATGCAGTGCCGTGCCAAGCTAACGACCTGTCCCCGTGGGTGCCACAGGTGCAGATGGACGAGCGGGTGGTGTGGATGGAGCGGGGTGTCCTGCTGCGCAGCGTGCAGCGCTCCGATGCCGGCCTCTACTTCTGCCATGCCACCGAGCATGGCTTCACCCAGCCCCTGCTGCGGCTCTCCCTGGAGGTGATCGGCGCCCGGCAGGCGGCGGGCATGGCCCCTGCCGGTGATCCCCAGCTCGCCGCCGGGCCCCCAGGCCGCAAGGTCTGGTACCAGGACTTCCTCCAGCTGGTGGAGCACCCACCACTGGGGGCTGCGGACAGGGGATGCCAGCGGCGCTCGG